GCAGGCTTTTTCCCCCCTCGCGAGGGCCTCCGCAGCCACAATCCTGTGCGTGCGTGCATTCTCAGCGTTTTAAACACGGCATGTGCGTGTGCATGTGCTTGTGTGTTTGGCAGCGCCTATACTTGCGGAGCAGCTGTGCGCCACAAGAGAGTCTGAAGAAAGCAACGGCAGAGAGAGGCAGATAGCACACACGCAAATTACTCATATCATCACACACACACACACACGCAGCCGCGGAATGGGTGCACTCAACCACAAAATCAAAAAGGAAAACAAAACAAAAAGCCGAAGCGTGGGACGACCAGCGCACACACTCTCATTACTGCCGTAAAGCAAAACACACACACAGAGGGAGAGAGAGAGAGGTCGCCCACTCAATGCAATAAAAACAAAACAGAAACAGTTACGGTGCTCCGTCCATGCAGCCAGGCAGGACGGCAGCGGTGCGTGTCGTGCAAAAGAGAGCACCAACGGGCCTGCATGGGTGTGCATGCATATATACAATGGGCACATTATTGTGTGCGTTTCGTGGGGTGAGGTGAGGGCGAGAGTCCATGCAAGGGGACACACACACAGAGTGAGAGAAGGAAGAGTGTGTGTGCGGGCGGTGCACGGCTCTCTCTCCCTCACTCTCACGCGGCCACCACCGCAGCAGCAGCAGCACAAACCACGAAACAGATGGAATCAGTGCGATTGCAGAACTCGCACACCGTCCTGCAAACCAGAAGTTTAAAAAGCAATATGAAACAAGAATTCAAAAAAAAATGGAAAAAACTTAGGCTTCTGCGGGAATCGAACCCGCGTCCCCGGATGACATTGTGAGCGTGTTTGCCACTGAGCTATAAAAATGCGGTCGCGCGACCCCTTTTCACGTAAAGTATTAATTTCGATCTTCGAACAATCGAGCACATTTGCGTTGTCCCCTGGAAAACGAAAACGACATGTTTAGGGTGCGCCAAGGCTCTTGGATACTTCGATTCAATAGTATGTGTCTGTCTTTCGGGGCCGCAGCCGCAGCGTGGTTACTACGATACGTCGTGTTGTATCCAACGTCCGGGGCGGCCGCGGCGTGGACATCGTGACACATCAAGTATCTATCGTCCGGGGCCGCTGCCGCACTCTTTTTTATTTCTTGCAGCGGCCAACCCCGGCAGTAAGGACAAAAAAAGAATCGCGTTTTCTTTAATGTTTTTCCTGTTTGGGGGCGGGGATCTTTGTTTTCTATGATTGTCTCTTTTTTTTTGTCTGTTCCAGGTTGGTTTTTAGGAGGCTTGATGTGCCTGCTGGGTGATCGCCGGCTTTTTTATTGGTGATTGCGTATTTTTGGCTTACCGGTGTGCCGCTCAGCGCCATTTTGTTTTACTTCTTTTCCGCTTATTGGGGTGCGGTGTGCGGATGACTTGTTTTTTTTCTTTTTTTTTCGTGTTCTTTTATGTTTTATTTCTTCTTTTTTATGGAACGCTTAACTTTTTTTAAAAAGTGACGATGCATGTACTGCGGTATATTATATTGTACAACATTGTATTGCTTGCTCTTTTTTGGGCGAATGCAGAAAATCCAGTTTCATATCCGATTGATTGGGAAGGTTCTTCATCCACTTTTCCTGATTCGCGTAATTTGGAATCTTCCTACCTAGGTGAATGTGTATGCGATATGACATGGGGTGTCTGTGACCCCAATTGTTGTTGTGACACGGATTGTACTGTGGAAGAGAAACAGAAGTTTTTATTTTGTCTTCAAGAAACCGTTGGATCTTCTTCTATGGACTATTGTTATGAAAAACAACAGGATGAAAAGGTTACTCGGAGTTCTCGGCGGTACCTTGACAGAGCCAACGTCGGAAGTAGTGCCGTTTGTATTGTTAGGTCCAATAATTTAGAGGACTTGAATTCTTTTTTTGTTCTTCCAAAAGAAGTGCCAAAACCTCGCGAGAAGAAATCTATTGACTGGTCTGAGAGGAAAGAATCAAATGGATATGAGGTAAATGGGGATTTGTTACTGATGAAACGCATAGAGGTTGGTGAATCATTATATGAAATGAGAAGTATGGGATTATTTCGCATTCCAACTGGAAGTAGGGGTGGATATTGCAATCCAGAAGGAAGGCGGGTACGTTTTATGAATCCCATAGATACAACTTCTTGTGTATTACCAGGTGAAAGGGTTTGTACACTCTTTTCAACAAGCACTTACGCAAATTTGTTTTTTGTGAGCCCCGGATATTCTTCTTCCAAAATTTTTACACCCATACAACTACGTATTTTTAATCATACATCTGGTAAATTGCTTGCTGAAGTTGATTCAAATTCAAGCATCCCCGAAGTTTACAGCTCTGTTGTTAACGGAGATTCCTGTCAAAATGGAGTTGTTCGAGTACAGACTGTTTTGTTTTACAAATCAAACGATAACGGGCTTTCATTGATAAATGCAACAACAAATTTGTATATCAACAATATAAATAGAGAAGCAATTTTTCCCATGTCATTTCAAATAAAATTTTTTCGTTCTGTTGCTGCTATAAAATTGAACTATTTTTCGGGTACTCCAGGTTATTTTGAGGGTTCGCGTTTGCGGGCGGGTACACTGGTGGAAAAGAGTGGTAAAACGGCAATATTAGAGAGAGTTTCCGGATTTTCTGTCCCTAGTGGTGGCCGATCTTGCTATAAAAATAAATATCGTACTGTGGGTTTCCTTTATGATATTTTAAGCAGTGGTTGCACAATTGACTTTTCCGAACTAGAATTACGTGATATTTGTTCAGGAGGCGGGACGACCAAAATACTACGCAGTATTCTTAGTATAAATGTGGAACATTCTACTGATTTTGATGGACAAACAAAACCCATAGAATATGTGGCTCGTACAAATGATGCACTGACGAATGACACTACGAGCTGGATAAAAATAGATGGGATGAATTTTAGCGATACTACACCTGATCCTTACGACCCCGTGAAAAGAAAATGTAGTAACATTTATGTCGGATTACACTATAGCTTTGTTTTATCTAAAGTTGGTGCTGAAAGTAACCCTCAGGATATCATCGTGGCTGCCTTTGCTGATCCCATTATCGGTAGTTGGAGAATACGGAATACGAGAAATTTTGGTGAAAACGCTAAATCCACACAGCATTTTCTTTTTTCTGTTTCTTTTAAATGGATTGATTCGGATTTACAGAAGAAACGTCGTCGTCGGGTTATTGCGCCACCTATTTTACCCCGTTTAGATGAAACAGTTTTATATCCCTTTAAGGCTCCTGGATAGCCGTCAAAAGGCAATGAAGGGTAACTTTTTTTCTTAATTGACAATTATTAGAGAATAAATAGATTAATATGTGGATTATTATTATTTGGGCGCTTTTCGAGTTGTTTCTTTATGTGTTATTATCTATTTATTTATTTATTTATTTTATTTTATTTATTTATTTATTTATTATTTATTATTGTTACTTTTTTTTTAAATTTTATATGTGTGGCAATTTTTGGATTACTGAAAAGGAATTAGGATAATGCGCAGCAGTATTATTTTTCGACGCGGCGTATATCACAATGCACCGACTGTATATCCATTTGTGAAGCCCTTTCATGATACACCATATGACGAGGATAGGGGTAAACATTATGTTGGGAGAAAAAGATGGCTTAAAAATAGTTGGCCAGAATGGATGGATAATGGAGCTGATGCTTTTGGATACGGGATAGGACTTCATCGCGTGCATCCACTTTCAAAGTTGCGTGGTAATCTTAAAACTAGTCCTTCTCATGTTCCACGTGTTTTGAACATGATGATTCAAGGTGTATGGCATAAAAGCGGTGTGAAGTTGTATTTTCGTGGTGGTAAACCCCCAAACCCAAGTAAACATCCATATTTAACGGGGGAACCTTGTCCCGTCTATGGATGGAGGATAACAGATGAATCGGTTATCCGGCAATTTAACATGCCAAGTGTAGATGTTACAAAGGTGCGATACAAACCTTATGTTGCGTTACAAGAGAGAAAAATAATGGGATTGGACACGCATAAAACTGTTGTGTCTCAAACCTCAAAGAAAGATTCGGATGCTAAACCTTTGGTTAAACGACTTTTTTTCTGGCAGTGAAACATTTATTTATATAAAATTTTATGTGTTACAATTATCTTGGTGAATATATATATATTTGCGACAATACTATGAGTTTGCTTGTAATTTTTTTTTTATATCTTTTTGTTGTTGTTTTATGACAGACTGATTATGGTCATTATTATGAAAAGTTTCCACTTTTTTTTTTGTTTTTGTTTTTATTTTTTGTTTCTGTACTGTTTTTCGATTTTATTGCAACTGGGATAAATTTATGACATTTTAAATAGTTTTACACCGATGCAGGAGCTTTATGACACTGTCAGTAGATACACGGGGCGCGGTACACCATCTCATTTTTCTGCTAGAGTTCATCCCCGGAAGGCTGCGAGTCAATTTGTGGGTTCCTCTATTTTTCATGGACGTCTAAACTCTTTTTGTGCTGCGTTGGTGGCTCGCTTTATGGCTTCGAATGAAGTACTTGTTGTTGTATCGCGTGATGCGGTTCAAAGTATTTCCTGTGATGGTTATGCACTGCAGCCGAGAAGCTCAACGCCGGGACCCACTGCGGGGGAAATTACAGGAGTTGTTACCTCTGATGGTTTTACAACTGTTGGATATAGCGCCGGTGTGACTAGATATTCGCCTAGTCTTCAACTAGAAAGAGAACTGTTGTTTGATGGATACTCGAATAGCATTTTGAGTATTGCAGTTACACCTGATGGCACATGCATAGCTACTGGTGGTGGAAATGCAACAGTAACAGTGTGGACACGTGATATGAACCCTATGCATTATCTTTCTGGT